CTGATGTTTCCGAAGCCGTCCGCGGTTAAATACAGATAAGAAAATAAGACGTATTTCCGATGTCGCCGGCTATTTAATGGTCCAAATAATAAGGCGAAAAAACAAAATCGTTATAAATAAAATCTTTTTGAAAGTTAGTTTCATAGAAATGTTAATAATCCCAGGCTCCAGTATAAAATTAATCCGACGAATTATTCACAAAATTTGCGTTTACTAAGATACGACGTTAAGAAAAACTATTGTTCGTTATGTATCTGTTTTTATTCATTACCAATGGTCTTGGTTTTTTCATTTATAATAATATTATTATTATCTGGTTCAAACTGAAAAAGCAATTGGAAATTTAAAGCAAAGGCTGCCTTTGACAGAGAGTGCGTTGTGTTGCCTATATTGAAACCTCTCGGGCAGATACTCTGGTGTAGTTATATAATCATTATAATAATAATTTAAAAGCCTTTTTTCTACGTTTTAATCATTACAGTTTACAGTAAACATAACGTTGTATTAATAATCTTTAATTATATAATGAAAATAAACACTTCATAAAAATATCGATAGTTCTTTTTTTTAATGAATTATGTATACATTTATGTGTTATGTAAACAAGCACTAATTTAAATACACAAAGGGAAATTATTGATGTTTAATAACTTGTTTATGCTGTAAAATATGAAATATTTCTATTTTAATTATAAAAATATTAATTTATGCATATTTAATTTTTTGCTGAAAGTACTAATATCTATTTGCATGCCAATATTTATCATTAACTAAGAAATGATTAAATAATGTTTCATTAATATTATGTTTATCGCAATTGTTTCGCATTAAAATGAAAAAAACATGATTATATAAATTACTATTATTAATATTTTAATTAATACACTATTAATATTAATAAAGATTTCCCATATATATTTGTACATATTATTTGTAATATTTCATTGTAATTATTAATTAAAATAAAAATATTTCAACAAAAGTCTTTTTTTTTCGACATCAGTATACAGTTTAGTAAGTCTACAAAACCAATTAAACCCCACAATTTTGTGCAAACGACATTTTACTTATTTTTAAAGACAGCAATAAGAGAGCTGATCGTTTAATCCCCTATTCTTCAACGCCTAACCGATGCCAGCCATTAATGAGATATGGTATAATTAAATCCATTAATTTTTCGGACGGATACTACGTTAAAGAAAGAAAACGAGGTCAGATAAATACAGCATGTCTAAATAAAAGATTTTTAATTATATTTTTAATTTAGAACGATGATGCCGCCAAGCTTGCTTTACTAAAGTCTAGTGACAGATGTGTTTGTAAAAGTGGGATAGATTGGGGTACGAAAAAAAATGAATATAATTTATACTTTATTTAATAATCGAAAAATCGTTCGTATACGCTGATTATGCTTAAAAAGCGAACTCTGGTTTTTTTTAAACTATAGATTTAAGGAACACGACCATATTCAGGGATCAACTATTATCAACGGAATATCTATAAAAATAAACAACATAATATTATTTTGTATTTTTAGAAACTAATAATATGCTACGTTTTAAAAACATTTTTTTGTATTTTCTCCTTTATCCCCTCTTAAATTTTTTTCAACTTGATTTTTAAATGAAGACAAATACAAGACGATCCGTTTTTAATAAGTTTCTAAATTACTTACAAAATAAAAATAATTTCGGAAATATTTTTTTTGACATTTTTAAGTTACACATGCTTTTTGATTTATCAATGTCAATTATTTTTTCGATCCATCCTTCATGTTTTACAGAGGTATAAACTTTATTTGTTTAAGTAACACCACTCATATATAACTAGCTTATAAAATATAAAATGATCTAATTACAAAATGACTGGTTGATAACATCTTTTAGATCAATTTTTCAAAAGTTATTAGAATTTTTAAATATAAATAGAAGGTGAAGAACGGGTGCTGCCATTTTTATCATTAGGCACATTTTTTCCCACCTTGTTATAAAAATGATTTTTTTGAAGATACTTATATAAAATATACAAATTACCTAACTGTTTAAACATTAATATTTACTGGTGACTTTGTAGTTGAAAACTTCTATAAAGTTATTTTCCAAAGTTTTTATTTTTCACAAACTCGTAATAAAGTGTTTCCACTTTTAAAATATTTTTCTTTCTTACTCAGTTCTTTAAACTTTTTTAAACTTCGAACTAATGGAAAATTATATCTTAGAATGTTTATTATATAGAAACCTATTTTTAATGTTATCATTTTTGTGAGAATTAAATTGATAAATTATAAAGAAAAACTTTTTTTCATTTAAATAGCTTTTCTTTATTTTTCTCGACAATATAAATCAACAAGCATAGTTCACTCAAGTCATTAAAAGTTTTATTTATGAATATTCCGATGATTTAAACAAAAATTCTGTTTCGCTTTAATATTTAAGTACGTTTTTTTACTCCACTCGATATTTTTTATAAAATATTAAATTAAATCTTGAATTTTTATATTAAGATTGAAAGGTTTGTGTATACCTCAAATTTATGGTACACACAGTTGAACATACCTAAGTGACAACTCTTATAACCTCCAATAATGTAATAATCATTTCATAATATTTTTTAATAATTTTTGTATTTTCAGTATACGTTACATGTATATTTTTTATTATTTTAAATTATGAATGAAAACATTTTTTAATTGTTCAAAACTTCAAAAAATTCATAATATATTAAATATGTAACAATAATATTAATTATTATTATATAAAACAAATATATTAAAATATATTACAGATTCAATATTTAGATATACCTTTAGTCATATTAAAGTTAATTTTTCATTGTAGTTTAAATGTAAAAAATATATTTACTTTTAGGAGTAAAATCATGAATAAATATCATTTAGTATCATTTATAAAATAGCATTTTAGGGTATTTGTTGTTCTTGTCTTAAAAAAAGATACATTTTATAAACATTTTTTCGATAGTTTGTTGATATCAATGTAGACATAATTTATTTAATATTTTAAAATTCTGATATTTCAAATTGTCTCTCATTATCTAGGTAGTCAAATTGCATTCATGTTTTTACAATGTTAGAGTCACAGAAAAGTAGTATTTTGATGTGATGAAAATTATATTTATTTAGTTTGCATATATTTTACCGAAAGTTCACTGCTTCGTTTAAAAAAAAAACATGAATTTAGTAATACGAAAATGATGTAAGTATAATTGTTTTAAGCTAGAGCTGTAAATGTAATTTTGTAGAATATATTATCTAGGCCATATTGACCAACGTCCGGATATAAGTAGATAATTCTACCATGGCAACACTTTATAATACGTAATCGAAAATAGTAAATGCATTTATATAGGAAATTCCATTACCGATTGTATTAGCTAATTTGGATCAAAACCATTAGAGAGAAATTTGTGCGCTTAACTAACTAATTTCTAAAACACTGTACATACAATGTATAATGTTTTAGAATTAGTTAATTGCAATCTATGCATCATATGTTGTTTAGAATATTTACAGATTTTTCCATGTCTCCAGTTTTGTGCTGGCGTTTCGGAGTCATTGCAGAGTTCATCCTCAGAACGATAGTTAAAGGCCTGAAGATGAACTTTGCAAAGAGTTCGAAATGCCAGCCCAAAACTGGAGACATGGAAAAATCTGTAAATATTTTAGCAATACAACAATATATAAACATAATTATATAAAATTCATTGTCAAAATTTGTTGCATAAAGACAGAGAAGAGTTTGACATTCAAAAACAAAATTGAATTATTTAATTATTGGCTTATATAAATATATATTTCAGAATTTTCTGAGTTAATAAATACTTAAGAAGAGATATCTATTATAGAGCAATATTTATCTCTTAAAATACATATTTTAAGTACTTTTAAGACTATTTAGAGAAAACTTAATAGCATTAATGTAAAACTAAAACAAATTATACTTTGTGAGGTGATTATACCACCAAAAAACAATATTTATGTTTTGAAATGATCTAATAAAACATTAAAACACTCATAATTTGATAAATTTATTTATTTAAATTTTAATTGTGGATTTATGTATCATTACTCAGAAATATGAGTTTCATAATAAATTAAAATATTGCCGTATACATTTTGTTGGCATAATATGGTAAAAAAATTAGTCGAGCATTTATTTATAATGCTTATGATGTAGGTTATATTTGTAGAGAGGATAAGAGTTCCATACATCATTTGTCACTATCGCCATAACCTTTCCCAACATATCTTATTGTGTGTTAGTTTTAAAGTACACTTAAAATTTATTACTTTTAAAAATCTCGTAAAATATTAACTATGCAGACTTACTCCATATATTTTAATAAAAATATGATAATTAATTTTTTTTTTTCTATATTTAATATTTCAATGTAATATATTATACAAAATTGTAAAACAATTATTAAAATAATTTTAAAAAAATGTAAGTTTTGATATCATAAATTATAATACAATTTACTTTACAGAAATGGCCCTAAAACCGTAGGGTTCTTTAATTAAATATTTTGTCGAACTCATATTGTTCTTTATATAATAAAAAAAATATATTTTTTTAGCTCAAAATCTTAATTAAAGACTCTTTTAAATGAAGTACCACACGAGAGCACATCCCTATACTAATTGCACTGACTGATCCATTTTTTGTTACCATTCTAAAGAATAATTCTTTGGTTTTTAAGCAAAAATTCCTAAGGTTGCTTTTAGTAAAGTGTTGTAGTTTAATTGTATATATATTTTATATTTATCAATGTATTAATAAAATTCTTCATAATATAAACTGTGTAAGTATTATTAAACATGCATAAAAACTTGACGGTCGGATATTGTGGCTATATATTTAGTTTTTTATAGAGCTTTATTTTTCTAACTTTTATTTGGCTCGTTTTCTAACAATTTTATTTTTAAAATAAGTCAGACGGTGTAGATTCTTTTTATCTCTTCACTGTCACACATAAGAGTTATAATGTTGACAACGGTCAGTGTTTCTGTTGTTCTATGACACCTCGATACAATCTCATACGCAAAATGTGCACGTTAGACAGTAATACAAGTCTGTAAAAACGTCAGTATCAATTATAATGGTAACTATTATAATATTAATCGCAGCTAGTTTGAGTTACGATGTTTCATACTTCTTGCAAAAATAGAAATACTTGCTTTTATTTTTTTTTCTCTATGTTTTAATGAGTACATCTATTATTTTTGTTGAAGTTTATTACGGTCTATTCATCAATGTGTCTACTTTAATAGAAATTATTGCTGGTGTCATGTCATCAAACATGTACTTTATAACATAATATGTACTTAACTAAAGAAGTTACAAATTAAAACATTATTTCGCAAAATACGTCAAAAATAACGATAATTATTGCTGGATATGAGTATCAATCATTATCTCTGTATAATAATTCGTTTATCTGTATTACAATTTTACAATTAATGATTTCAACTTAAAGCAGACGTTGGTGTAAACGCATTCCGCTATCAAGAACAACTTCATGGTCACCCATCCAGTATAGTCTACCCACATCCCACCCTTTATTACGAATATTAAACATTCAACGGCCTGAGCAAATGAAACCAGTTTATCTTATCCTTTCAAAGCATATTCGTAAACATATAGAACTTTTATTTGTTCATAAGTATTATTTTACAATATACTTGTACGCGCTCATAAATATTTTTTGACGTTAACATTATGCCTACTTATATGTTTAGCTGTATGCTCGTGAAAAACACGTACATTGTACCGTCAAATACAACTAGATATGATAACACGAAGTTGTTAAGTTGGAAAACATATTTATTATTTTTTTTTCTTTTTTAAAGAGAGACTATTTTTCATTTACGCATACTTGGATATACGTTCGTGTAATCGGTAAATCAATAAAAACTCCAAGACTGTGAGACTGAATAATTCATTTACTAGTTTTGAATTATTATATCTTCACTTTATTTTCAAGTATTAAATAAATATCGAAACCCTGCACCGAAATATGTTTAGATAAATTTGATACATTTATTTGAGAAAATATAGAATCAATTTCTTTTTTTTTTTAATTTACAATTTTTAATTAATGTAAGATATATTTAAATTTATTTAGTTAAGTAATAGTTTTGTAAGCTGTTAATTCTTTAGGCTAGTAATCTAGAAGTCAATAGAGAAACCTTAGTGAGTTAGGAATTTTTAATTGTATAAAACCTTTGAAAAATTTTTAAACGTAAAAGTCATTATTAAATATTAAACATCATAAATATGTAATTTTAAAACATTTTAATGTAATATTAAACGTAAAATGAATATTTATTAGTACTGTAATATAATAAAAAAAAATTAATATAATAAATTTTTTAATAACATCAATTACCTAAAATTAAATTTCTTTAAAGATTGAGAATATGGTTTTATTTATTTTTTATTCTGTTATATATTGATTTTTAAAAAGTATATAAAATATATAAAATTCAAAAAAAACTTATAAAGTTATATTTGAATTCACTTATAATAAATTATTTAACTAAAAAGTTAACTATACAAATCGAATAACAATATTATATTAATAGGACAAAAAACATAAAACTTGTTTTTCAGTTGAAGTATTATATGAAAGTATTTTAGTTATTGACATAAATATATTAATGAGAAATATTCTTTAAATATTGTCATAATAATCCAAAAAATAAAATTTAACGGAGGCAAATAAATAATTAATTTATCAAACATTGACTCATTAAGAATAAACTTCTGTAACACTTTTTGCTAAGCTAATAGACAATAGAAATAAGAATTTGTGATTTTTTATATTTTGCGTGGAAAGATGTGACAAAACTGTGCGTTTATATTTTAATTTATGGAGCAGAGTTTGTTCCTACACTTTTGATTATCTTCAATTACTATTGATTTTTATTTTTCTCGTGTTCTTTATAAATTGATTAATTTAATGTATTAGCATATATATACGTAATAAAAGTTTTCAAAAAATATCAAAATTTTTTGTTCGTTAGAGTTCAGATGGAGGCAATTAAAACTAAGCCTACCGAGAGTATTATTTAAAAATTAATATAAGAGTATACAATACAATACCATTCAATAACTTGATTAGTAGCCATAGTTTAAGTAAAAGGTTTTATTAAATAAAAAAATAAGCAATTTATATTTTAATAATAGATTAAATTTTTAATTCAAAAAAACGTAACATAATATTACTAATGGCTTGTTAGACGTTAGCAAGAGCTATGTTTCTATGCCAAATTGATATAGTATGATGTTCATTAGTAATTAAATGATTTAAAATTCCTATAGTAGATGATAAGCTTACTAAGCCTACAATTCTAAATCCAATAGGCATAACAAAATAGTAGTAATTGCTACTATTACAAAATAGGCAATTTAAATTGCCTATTTTGTCATTTTGTACATAGATTAACATAGAAAAGTTATATATGCTAATGAATTCTATATATTTACTTGATTTACATTTCGCTATTAGTTAAACAACTATTATATTCATATCGAAATAGGAAAGTTGCTGATCGAAAATAGTATCACGTAAATACATTATTATTAGTCATAGCTTTACATTAAAGCTATGACTAATAATTATTTGAATGCATAAAATATTTATAATTAATTTATAATAACAATTGTGGATTAAAATTTTTAAATACATTACATTTATTTGTAAAATTTATGTGACATAATCAATTATAGCTTTTTCAAAAATTTAGTAAGACAGTCATTTTATTTATTTAAGTAACACTAATGCTTACATTATTTCAAATATACACACAGTACCGTACTCATTAGTATTCTTGCTCTCTTGTTCATTATTAGTTTTTATTAATTTTAGTAAAAAAATATAGTCAACTAGTCACTGAAAAGAACTATAAGGTCCTTATTTTGCATTTAATATCTATGTATTTCCATCTGCTTTAGTTTTCTATAAATTAGCTTCAATAGAAAAATGTTTAACTAAACAGAATTCAAGGGATTTTTTAACATTAATTTTAACTTAAACATTTAATATCTCAAAATATATAATAAAAAAGTGAGAAAGCAAAGAAAAAGAGTTCAATTTTTTGGTGAGTTTATGTAAACTTTTTTCAGAATATCGCATTTCATTTAGTCAATGAAAACATTCATAATATAAATATTAAAAAAAATTATCCTAAATCCTATTTTTATATAAATAAATCTTTAAATTAAATTTTAGAAATAAATAAATCACTCACTTAACTTCCTAATAACATATGATATGTTATATTAATCGTAACAAGAATGAATAGTAGTACTAACCTAAAAAAAAAAAATTACAGTTTTAATATAAGTTATCACTAAATCTATAAAGTTAAAATAGCAATTTAAAGTTTTGTATTATTTATTATTATAATACATAATAATAAGTACAAAATCTAAAATATGCTTTATAGTTGTAAATATTTAATGATTGGGTATAATTTGATATTGTTAGTTTAAGATAGGAAAAGAAAAGTAATTGAGAATTTAAGTCATGATCTTCAAGCCTTTCTGAAAAATAATAATAATATGACTTACGTACAGCTTTCAGATAATTTTGGCATGTATTTATAATTATCATCAATTAATATTGATAATAATGCATGCAAATTAGAAAATATATAAATATTAATTATAAAAAATATTGAATAAACAATGTGATTTAGTCTACTATTATAATATCTACTAACACAATTAATATCTTGATTGTAATGTATCATGTATATTATATGCAATATTTTTTATTATTTTTTTTTTGAAAGTCTAAGATTAATGAACATTTTGAAATAATTTGTAAATTCAAAATTTGTTTTAATATTGTATTTGGTCCTATGTGTGTGGCACATATTTTGTAATCGTGTTTATAAGAAGACACATATATAAAAAATATTTTGTTTATATTATATGAAACAATAGTTGTTGAAAAATATTCATTGTAAGCCGTTTCTGAATAACTCCCACGAACAACTTTTCATTTTGCCTATACATGTTGTTTTTAGTACACGATACCACTACAATATTATTGCTGTAAATGAACAATGTGTATACTGATTTTAAATAGATAATAACCAAGTATAATTAAATGAAAATATTTACTTTTAATTAAAACACTTTTTCTTTTTGTCGAGTAATTATGGAATTATGTTCAAGATTTATTTTTAATATTTTTTATATAAAATGATTATTTATATTTAAAGGATTGAAATTTCAGGAGTATTTCGTTTAATAACTAACATAGAAAAAATATTTGCATACAAAATGTTACATGTGTTTTTTTTTCTTTTGACTGATCGATTTAAAAATAATACTAATAACAAAAATATAAACCCACAAAAATTCGAAAGCTAAACAGTAATTAAAAAATTGGTGGTATTATAGTTTCTTAAGATATCATAAAAAATAGTAAAGTCTAATTTAAAATTGATATAATGACTAATATAATACAAATGATAAAATTTACTGAGTTTTTCAACATATTTCAAAATAAAAATTACTTTACGTTTATAAAATACGATTTTCGTTACATTTTTTTTTAATTTTAAAAATAATTACCTAAAATGTTGCTATTTTCTTTAATATTGACATTTGTATGTCCTATTTTTTAAATTGAGGATGAATTAATTATTCCTCTATTTTTTCATAGGGGGATATTTCTTTTGATAAGATTATTAACAAATTAAAAAATCTTACTTAGTATTTAATTTTATAGTTTCATTATAGTTTTAAGTTGTTTAACAGTTATTTATTGAGAATTAGAAAGAATAATATTTATTATTACTTAGAATGTTGATATCTATATTATACAATTTCTGGACAACTATGTTGTTAAAATTATGATTTGCAAAATAATTCAGCTATAATAGATATACATAGTTGATATTATATATATTATGAAATGATATACATGTGTTATAATATATGAGAACACTATTGCTATGTAATAAATAAATTGATGGCAATTAGTAACTGGGATATATAATGATTTTTTTTGTTTACTTTAATAACAAAAAAAGAAATCCATTTAATTAATAATAAAACAGTAAAATTTAAATAGTTTAAAAACTA